ATCTCCAAGAGACTGAAGAAAGAATTCTGAACTAAAATGTATTCTCCCTTAGGGACTTCTTTCAGCACCAAGCCCAATTACTTTTTAAATGGGGGGGTTAGCCCTCCAGGGAAACCATAAATATGTCCATAGTGAGTGGTAGTGGGTTAAATATTCCCAATTGCCCTATTACAGGAATCCAGGAAAGAAAAGAGTAGACAGTTCTCCCTAGCAAAAATACTAGCAGGGGATTTCTAGCAATCTAAGTGATACTGCACAATTTATTCTTTAATATCCAGTTTATGAAAATTTAGTGTCTCAGTGGTTGAAACAGACCACTTCTGTTCTTTGAGTCATGGCTGGTGTAGACACTTTAGGTGTCTCTTGGTAATTTCTTATGGAATAATGGAATGGTTTGACTTGGAAAGAATCTTAAAGGTCGTTTTTTCCAACCCCTTTGCTGAGGTCAGGTACATGTTTCACTAGACCAGATTACAAATGCTATCCAGTACTTGGCCTTGAATACTTCCAGGGATAGAGTATCCACAACTTCCTTGGGCAACCTGATGCAGTGCCTCACTGCCCTCTGAGTAACACGGCCCTCTTCCTGACATCTAATCTAAATTTCTCCTCTTTAATTTAAAACTGTTCTTCCTAGTCCTGTGGCTGTCCATTTGAAAACTTGCTCTCTCTCTTCTGAATAAGACCCCTTTAGGTACTGGAAAGCTGCTATTCAGCAGCTTCCTGTTTCCCAAGCTTAACAACCCCAGCTTTCTCAAACTGTCCTCAGAGAAGAAGCCCTTTCATCATCTTTATGATCAAAGGTGCTGCTCTGGACTCACCCCAGCCGGTCCCTGTCCTTCCTGTTCAGAGGACCCCAGCTCTGGATGCAGTGCTCCAGGTGGATCTCAGCAGAGCAGAGCAGAGGGGCAGAATCCCCTCCCTGCCCTGCTGCCCACGGGGCTCTGGGTGTAGCCCAGGACACGTTTGGCTCTCTGGGCTGGGAGTGCCATGGCTGGGCCATGTGCAGCCTCTCACCCACAGCACCCCCAAGCCCTTCTGGGCACGGCTGCTCTGGGGCTGCTCATGCCCAGCCTGGGCTGATAGTGAGGTTGTCCCTAGCCAGGCGCAGCACCAGCACTTGGCCTTGTTAAACCTCATTATATTCTCATGGGTTACTTCTCAAATCCGTCCAGATCCCTCTGGATGGCATTCAATCCTTCAGGTCTCCAGCCCTGTTCTGTAGTGGACCCGTTTTCTCTGTGCTTTTTTTGTTTTGTTGTTGATATATCAGCAGAAGCTGCATGTTGCCTTTCCCATTCCTTGCAGGTTTCCCTTCCCAGCTGTGCCCTTCCTAACTCCCTCTGTGCCTTTGTCCTCTGTTCCTCCCTGGCAATCTGTCCTTGCTAAAACCTTCTGTAGTGGCTTCTTAAGTTTGATGCCACTCAGAAGTTACTCCTCCAGACAAACTTGCCTCCTTCATTACGTCCTTGTTTCTTCACACTCTATTCATATGCTTTAGAGAAGTTGCTTTCCAAGTTCAGCCCTTTCTGCTGAGTCCCTTGGCATTTAAGGTAATTGAGTTCTTCCAGGCTACCACTTACCAATTTCCTGAACAAGCCAAGACAGTTGCTCTGAAATCCAGGATCTTTGTTCTGCTTTTTGCCTTCATTGCTTTCCTGAGTATTTCAAATTCTTATTTCTCCTTGTAGTCACTCAGTCTAAGGCTGTCATCAGCCTTTATGTCCCTATCAATTACTTCTTTAATTCATACAACATCCAGCAGTGCAACTTCACTACTAAACGGAGTATCTGCAGAAAAAGTAAGTTTCTGGTGCTCTCTGAAGGTCCTTCACTCTGCTCTTCTGCTCTGCCAGCAAATGTCTCAAAATTCCCCCATGAAAATATGTAATTATGAAGCTTCTTCCAGTTGTTTAAAGGCTTCATCCACTTTCTTTTCTTGACTGGGCAGTCTATAGTATGTGCACTCCACATTAACCCCTCGTTTGCTGTCCCCATCATGCTGATCCATGAGCCTTTATCCTTGAGTTCTTGGATATGCTGGGTTGTTGAAATAGTGGGAAAACAGTGTGCATGGTGAGAAACTATGTCTGCACACAAGAGGAATATCTTCTTTTGCTCCCTGAATGACTTGGGATGAGTAATTTGCCCTCTTTGCTTCTCCAGGTCTCAGACTGTGAAGTCTCTGTGGGACAGACCTGCCATAACAGAGATAGATGATGTGCAAGGGCTGCCACCTTCCGAAGATTGCAGGCATCATAGCATTTGTGTTCCTAAGTGTAACCTGTGTCCTCTCTTCATGGAGGCTGAACTTTGGTGGTAGAGAGAACCTGCAAAAACACTTTCCAGTGAAAATGTAGGAGGGGAGCGTCCCTGTGCACAAAAGAAAGATTTGGAAGGAAACATGGTTGCCAAAAGCATGTTTTTACAGGATTCCCTCATTACCAGGAATATAGTGATTTTGGGCATGACAGTGGAAAAGATCTTACCCTAATTTACTCTGCTAAGTGTAAGGATTTTGAATTTCTGTGAGTTACACCAGTAAGCTATCTGAGACAACAAGGCATGATTAAGGCAAAAGGAAATATAGATGAGTGTATGATGAAAATTAATATTTAATTGACCTGTTCCAAGTAGTTATACATATGAAAAGACAAAATATTTGCTGTATTTTTTGTTCAGGATGAATGTTTACATACTTTTGAACAGCTGACCTCTGCTTCATTTTGTGTCAACCAAGTTAAGCCTTATTTCCTTTTTGTATTAAACTGTAGGGCTTCCTTGTTTGGGTTACAAAACATGAAAATTCACTGAGCACTGTGCGGTTTTCTCATTATCACCCACATAGAAATACCTGTTTTTAGGCTCAAATATGTGCACAAAGACTTTAATGAGGAAAAAATATTTTTCTGACCTGTCCAACTTGCAGTGTTCAGGTATTTCTAGCTGTGATGTTCACACACACACACACACACACACACACACACACACACACACTCTTCTCTGTGTTTTGCATCACCAGTAGCTAAAAGGTGCCTGTTGACAGGTTGTTCACCTTGGCTTCTGCTGTGAGAATTGGAATTGTGCTGCTTTTCTTGACTAAAGTAGTTTTAAGAAGAATTTTAAACCAATACGTGCCTACTGGCAGTGGTGGGGTCAACTTTAGCTACTGCGTTTTCTGCAACTTCAGGTTGCCCATGTCTGCAGACCAGAAGATCAGAGACAAATGGTTTAATTAGTCTTAATACCATTTTGAGCCTACTGCTCTAATCAGTTGATCAGGTTTACACAGGTACTTAATCTGGCATAATACAAAAATAAAATGGGCTTCAATGGACAAAGGGGGGGGTTGCAAAATCCATCCCTTCCTAATATCAGTGGCTGTGCTTTGTTTTAAACAAGACTGGATTTACTTTGATTTCTAGATTAGTGCAGGTTACACTGAGCAGAACATTTAATGCATCTCATTGATTTTCCCTGTAACACTGTTGATACACAGGTCATTGCTCTAATAATTTGTTTTACCATTAGAATTCTGTATGCAGATCTAGTCCCTAAGGATATCAATGTGTAACCAGATACTGCGTGATCTAATCAGGTGCTGCAAGAAATACATTATCACTTCAACACCTAGCAGTAGAAAGCTTCATCAAAATGGAAAAGTTATTTGATATTTAAAGCAAAATGCAGTTCAAAGAGACAACTAGGAGAAGTAGGTGTGTACAAAATTTAAAGACATTTCTCAGATTAAACAAAGCCAAATCCAAGCCAGAGTCTAGGATGATTTGTCATGACTCCATTTGTTGTTAAAGAAGAAAATGTTATAGCTGCTGTTTCAGTTTATAGGGTTTATTCCAGTTCAGGTAAAGTAGCATCACTCTCAGAAATTACCGACTGGCAGAATTTCATTAATGTGATACTTACTTGCTACAGCATGCGTGCTTTGGAAAGCAATTTCGAAAAGCACCTGCAAAAGCATTGGTGACAGACAAGACCAGTGCTGTGAACTCATTTTGATGTAGGATTTGGATCTCTGAGCACCTAGTACTGCAGTCCATTTCCAGAATACAAGTCCTGCTGACTTTGAAGGAGTTTTGCAAGCAGTGTGTCTCAGGCTGAGCAGCAGACCTGCTTGCTGCTGCGAGTCTGACCAGAACCATCTATGGCTGGAATGGCAGGAGTGTGGCTCTGCCTGCAGCTGGACAGTGTTTCTGTGCAAACTGCCAGGTGCAAACACCAGGTGCTCAGCAGGGTAATGGTTGACAAAGATGATAAGCATCTCCTAGGGTCAGCTTATAACTCCATATAACTGCTTTCATGTCAATGTCTGAATGCTGAGCATTGTTAATTTGGCTTTTGTCTGAGTTTCTGAATTTTATCAGTGGAATGCAATGCTGTTCTTCGCTCTATGTCTTGTACTTATTTAGCAAAAGAAAGTAAAGAATTTTAGAAGTAAATTTAAGAAGGAAAAGCATTTAGTAACCTTGTGTATGACCAGATGAGACTTGATTTAAGATAGAACATAAAATATTTATGTTCCTTGACATTTTTCCAATTCCTATTTTATCTGGCTATAAAGGTATGTGTGGAAGGATATTGGTTTGTTTTGGTTTTTTCCTTTGGTTCTACAGACTAAACAGTGCACAATTCAGTGTGCAGGGCCAAACTCTCCTCCTTGGCTCAAGGCATTTATTGTTTTGCTTTGCTACCAGAATTGCTTTGATCTTCAGAGGCCACTGGGTTCATTGAGCCTAAAGGCATAAGTAAGAGCTGGAAGAGAGTGACTGAGCATCCTGACAAGCAGTGAAACAGACTTTCTTTCAAGCTCCTACAAAGTGTTGTTGGGGCAAATGCTGCCAGACAAATGTACTGTTGTTGAGGGAACGGGTGTGAGGGTTGGTTGGTGGATGTTGGTAGAGGTCAGAAAATTATTTTCATTGAGAAAAACCCACTAAAGGCTTTTAATATATTTTTTATAATTTTTCTCTCTTGCGTTTTAGGGTCTCATGACTCTTTTAGCTTCTACATTGATGAAGCCTCTCCAGTTGGGCCTGAACAGCCAGAGACGGTCCAGAATTTTGTGTCAGTTTTTGGGACTGTGGCTAAAAAGCTGATGAGGAAGTGGCTGGCTACACAGACCATGAACTTCACCAGCCAGCTGGGGGCAGGTATACGGTATTTTGATCTCAGAATTTCCACCAAGCCCAGAGACCCAGACAATGAACTCTACTTCGCCCACGGTTTATTCAGTGCCAAAGTCAAGGAAGGTCTGGAGGAGATCAACGCGTTTCTCACTGAGCACCCAAAGGAAGTGGTCTTCTTGGACTTCAATCATTTCTACGGGATGCAGAAATGCCATCATGAAAAGCTTGTCCAGATGCTCAAGGACACATACGGCAACAAAATGTGTCCTGCTATATTTGCCCATGAAGTCAGCCTCCAGTACCTGTGGGAAAAGGAGCACCAAGTGCTAGTGTTCTACCACAGTCCTGTGGCCGTCGAGGTGGCCTTCCTGTGGCCAGGCCAGATGATGCCAGCTCCATGGGCAAACACAACAGATACAGAAAAGCTGATTCAGTTCCTGCAGGCATCAATCACTGAAAGAAGAAAGAAAGGCTCCTTTTTCATATCTCAAGTAGTGCTGACACCAAAGGCTAGTACGGTGGTGAAAGGCGTTGCAAGTGGTCTCAGAGAAACGATCACAGAGAGGTGAGTTTGTGGCTGGTAAGGTGTGCTGACTGTGCTGAATGTGTGTTGGTAGTGCTGTTCTTCCAATTCCTTTTAAAGGCACTCTAGCAGATGCATTTCTTCCATGCTACTGTGGGCCAGTCAGAACTTGGCATAATGCTAAAATATTTAAAGAGAAACACATTGAAGGACAAACTTTTGCATCTTGAAAGAAAATCTGCCAATAAGCCTTATTGGCTTAACCTTCTCTTTTTTTCTGAATGCAGGTTTTGCTTATTTGCTTTGTTTTCCAAATGTGGTTTCTTACCATAATCACTGAATATCATGTCTAGGATTTCTGTACTGGAAAATCTTATCTGTATGATCTAGAAAAATCTATGATCTAGGTAATCTTTTGCTTGTGCATCAGGCTTCAGATATTGGATTAAAAAAAAAAACTTGTCCTGGCTCATCAGCAAAGCCTGATGCTGCAGGATTTGCCATTACACCAAGATGCATGGTTTCTCTGTCTCTGCACCATCACACATTGCATCAAAGACAGCAGGACACCATTAGAGAGAATTTGACTCCTTAATTTGACTTCTTAATTTCTAAATGACTTTCTTCATTTACCACACAGGAAAGAGATGGCAGACCATCATATAGCTTCTGTATATGGAATAGCTTGTTGACAGGCCATTAGTTGTTCTATTACAAAAAAAAAAGCCACCTGTGTAAGACATGCATTATTTATACCATTCTGACTTTGATAAATCACAGCCAGTTTTGAGCTTAAAGGCATATATATGTGACTATGTTCTTGACAACTTGGTAGGAAAACTGAAACTTAATGCCAAGATGCTAGAGCTATTTTCTTTTTCTCCTTGAAAATAAAGAAGTGTTGCAGAGTGTAAAAAAATTACAATGAGGGTCAGTGTCCTGCTAATGTTTTGCTCTCCTCAGGGATGTGCCTGTGACAGGAAGGTCTGTTGGGAGCACAACCCCTTCTATGAAAAATGCAGTGTCTGCAAAGAAAACATGCCTCATATTTGGGAAAGGTTGAGCTGTTTTTATGGCAGCTTTCCAAAGCAGCTCTTGACTGGAAAAAATAGGTAAAAACCTCACCTGACATGGTAAAACACTGACTTGGAAGGTTTTACAGGCAGTGGAACGGGATTTAGAAGCACTTGTGTGACTGCACTTGCAGCTGTTGGTATATCCTTTATCTGTGTTTTAGGGGCTCCATCAGGCTGGGGAGTCTCCCTCTCTCCTGAGTCTGAAGAGCACTTCTCTGCACTAAAACACTGCTTTGTTGATGGATTTTACTGATAAACACCTTGTTGTTAGGGGACTTTTTCCTCTGGTAAACATCTTCCTGAGTGTTCTTTAGAACATGAAGTAGGACAATCAGGAAGCTAACAGGTTGTTCTTAAAGCTTGTTGTATCAATAAAATAGCCATCAAACCTCATTTTCTTCATCTTTGGCTTCTAATGTGCTTTTTAGAAGCTGTTTGTAAAGCAAAGACTTGAAATAGATGCTGAAAACGTTTGACTGAGTTTTGAATATCCAGAGCCTTTGAACTCTCAGTGTGCCTTTCCCAACAGCAAATCTTGAAATTATAACTGCCTTCAAAAGCCAATAAGTAATTGGGCTGAAAAACCTGGAAATGTTGTTTTGCCAGATTTTAACTGATATTTTTCACATGATCCCCAAGTGTGTAGTCACATTTCTACATGAAAAGTTGTTTCCTTTTTTGTATAATTCTTTTAGCACTTATGAGAGAAATGGATCTTCAAAATAATCTCCAAGGCCGATATTTAGTCTTCCATGTATGGCATCTCATTTTTAATTTTTATTTTAAAACAAAAATAGACTGTAGGAAGAAATTTATGATAATATTGGTTTGATATGATAATATGTAGGTTTGAAATTTATGATAATATTGATAGAAACTGAGCCTGTATTTTGAGTTAACTGCTCTAAAAGTAAACATCAAATATATTCAGAAGTGCTCCTCATTTTATGAAGATTCTGTTAAAAATAAATAGGCAAGCAATTAAAAGATGAAGTACTATTTACACAGTAGAATTTGCACAGTTATCTTCAGTCTACCCTTCCTTAATGTTTCAGTAGCTTAAAAATATCCACACCAAAGGTAACAAGACATACTTTCCAGCTGTGCTATGTTTGTCACCTTGAACCATCACTCAGTAAAAATGTAATTTTGTTCTTTTCAAAATAAATACCCAGACCAAATCCCATCTTTGTGTCCAGGTGGGTAACATGCGTGCTTTTGTTGCCAGTTACTGCATAGACTTATACGTTACACTCTTTTCTCCTTTTTAAGAAATGGTGGTGTAGAGCCTTACATTAAGAATGTAGTTATCTTGCTTTTGGAAGCAGTTTTGTAACCATACTTGGATGGGGTTCTTCCCTCTCATTGAATTTTAAAAGTTCTGAATTCAAATGAATAAGGTTGAATTTTTCAAATAATTCTGATGTGAGGGTTTGTTGTTTGGTTTGGGTTTTTTTCCTAAATTAAGTATTACATTTAAGAAATGTTCCTTTTGCATTTTGAATAAAACATATAGTAATTTATTTTGTTTTGTTTCTCCACCTGCACAGTGGCCTTTTACATATTGACTTCGTTTTGAAAACAGGGCAAAGTGTAGATCGCCTCAGATGCAATGAAACATGTCAGGTTTTGATCTCTGAAGTTTTTTTTAATAATGAAATTGTTTATGATTTGAAGAGCAGTGGCTGCCTTAGAGGGAGAGCGTGGTTTCCCCCAGTCACAGCATCCATTGGACTAGGGAATCTGTGAGCAGACTCCATACAGCAATCCCATCCGGACTCCATTCTGCTGTTTTGCAGCTTTCTTTGGGAAAGAACACAGTGAAAAATTCCTCTCAGCCAAATGGTTGGCTTAATGGCTTTTCATCGTGATTGCCTGTGATGGTGGAGGTCCACGCTCACGCTGTAGTAGAGAAGCCTTCCAAGGCAATATATTTCAGAAGGCGTAGAGATGTTATTCTATAGCTTGTTCCCTAGAGCTCAGGTATGCAAGCTGTGAGGCCCAAAATAACCTCAATTAAAAAAAATCCAAAGCCCAAAACATTTTCATGCTCCTAAGACTCAATTCAGTGAAGATATACCAGGAATTTTCCACTGATAATGTTTGCTCACAAAGTTTGCTGTCATAACAAGTAGTAAGTATTCTGTGGGATGGTAATTAGAAAGAAGGAGAAATTAAAAGTTTTGAAGCTTTCTGTCCTGCACAAATACATGAGGGCAAAGCTATTTTTTGTAAGGTCTTCCTAGGACCACAGTTCAGTGTAACAACACTTGGTAATACAGATTTCACCTTCACTACTTGAATGAGGAGAATTGCTTGCATGTGTGCACATTATGTTTCTTGGATTTGATTAAAAACTTTGAGGACTATCAATGTGTTTCCAGGCTTAACATTCTGTCACACACGCAGTTTAGATGCCAAGAAATGCTCTTTGATTAGCAAACAATATATGCCAAATGAATTACATTTGCTGTGCTCATTGAATTAACTTCATAGTGAGGCAGCTGCCTTCAGTATATCTGAAAGGTGGTTGTGAGACACCCTTTTGATTAGTGTAGAGCTGTTCCTAATAATCTAGTTTGCTTTCTGATTTGCAGTGAAATTGCTAATTTTATCTATGACACTTGAGACAAGTGTGATACTCTCTTTGTTGTCTCTGTCGTTTATTAATGTCGCAGAAGAATAGATCTCCTTCAGAGGATGCAGAAATCCTATGGTACTTGTAAAGCTTTCAAAAAATAGAAAGTAAACACATACCCTGCCAATTGTCACTTGATTTCCAAATTAATCTCTAAGGATAATGTTCCCTGTGGCTCACATATGACTAAATCCTTGCCTACCCTGCTAAAGCTTCCTCCTTAGCAACCAAACCAAATTTAAAAAAAAATGTCCTGCACATGAGAATAAAACCTTTTGAAATGGAGGCAAAGCATCCAATTCACAATATTAACAGAAGGGGTGGTAAGTAGGCCACAGTAACTGTCAGGAGAAAATCCATCTCTGGGTACAGTCATGAACTAAGGACAGTCAGATTTAGCTAGGGTATGGATATTAGATGATTAGGTGGATATTGTGTGGAAAATGATTCCTGAAGTTGCCAGAAGTAGGATTTTTTGAGTCAGTTGCTGATGGTGCCACACCTCCGTCAGCTGAATTTTTGAGTTTCTGTGTGACAGGAAGAGTGGGAATTGATCATATTTTAATCCGCATTCCATATTGACTGATGTCATTCTTAAACTATTTTATATGAAAAAGAAAAACAACAGAAATGGCAACTATGTTTTTCTAATTTTCTGCATCCTTCTTGACTGTAACCTTGATGTCTGTCTCCACTATAGATTTGCAGGAGAGGAGCAGGCTCCAGTGAGCTGGTTCCAATTTTAGAACTCGAAGCTGATGTGTCAGCTCTTTAACTGCTGGGAGGTGAGGGGAGCCTCAGTCTCTCGCTAATGTGTGTGGTACAAGCACGCCTGACCACACATGTTTGCCTTGGGACACAGCTGGCTTTTCCTTTTTTCCTTTTTTTTTTTGGTTATTATTTCCTGACCACAGAAGGCACACAATGACATTCTGGTATATTAGCAAGCTATTCAAAAGAACTCTGGGCAATCCTGACAAATCCTTAGTATTCCTGTTCTTCCTCAAACTGTGCTTAATTAGTTTTCCAGTCTTTCTACACAACAGGCAGTCACTGTGTTTTGCACACAGAACAGCACAGGGAGCTTTCTTTGGAAGAATCTATCCACCATGTCTACAGGCCAGCACAATGAAACCCGCAATGGGCTGCGTGTGTGTAGTGGCATTTCATCACGGACCATCTGTCTGCATGAGAATTTCAGTACAGCATTCCCACAGGAAGGGCTGTGCAGTTGTGTCTGATGGCTCTGGTCATGAACTTGGAACAGTATTAAATTGTCACAAAATACAGGAGCACAGGTTTTTAATGGCTTTGCCAAAGTATTTGTC